CTGGGAGGCACTCAGACCTCACTGCTGGTGCCCGGGGGGGGAATTGGCGGGCCGGGGGGGGAGAAGGCTTATCTGCAGACTGGGAGCCTTTAGGAATACTCCCCCCCCCCGAGTATCGTGGGTCCCGCTTCTTATAGTTCTTCTAAAATGAGGAACTGATGTGCTCGGATTTCTTGTTTTCCAGCCCAAGAAATATTTAGTTTTTGATGTATCTTTAGGACTGGATAATTTTAACTTACAAAAGGAGTACATTTGGAAAAGTTGTTTATCACATGAAAATGATTGGTAAAAATCATTATCTTGACTTCTCAGTGTCAAAAGTGAAACAAAAGTGTTCTTCAAGAAAGAAACAATCACGTAACGCTTGTGACAACAATAACAGTATTTAAAAATAACAGTATTTAAAAAGTGAAATGTTAACACTTGTGATGTGTATTAAATCTTGCAGGAAAGAATGATCACACATTTTGAAAGATCAAAAATGGAGTGAGAGGGGGAAAAGTAGCAGGGCAAGACTGGCTGTGACTGGAGAAAAGGGGAAACTTCTGTGTCTCCCTTAGAATGTTCCAGCGTTGCATTCTTCTGATGTGTTCTGCGATCCTTCACCCCTGGAGTTGAACATTGTCCTAAGAGAGAGAACATTTTACTTGGGTCACTGTGGAAGGGAATGACAAACGTGTTGGTAAACCTAGGAAAATATTTGAATTTGCATTGTTTCTGCAAGTTGGTTTTATAAGCAATTTAAATGTCTTTTATTACAGCACGTTCTGTTGTTTTTAACTATTTAAGTGAAACTAAAAATTTTAACAACTGTCTAAGGAACTATTAATTCAATATTACAGCTAAATCCCATACATTTTAAACAAAAGAGGCAGCAGAAAAAGGGTTATGGATCGTTGCCTTACAAACCAGCAAGGATGACCCATGCACAAAAGCAAATTTTGGCATGTAGACAATTACCAGCAGTCTGCACACATGAGAAGGAACTGCACACGGTGGTAAATCTTGCATGCAGCACTTGGGGCTATACATATGGAGGGAGAAATTGAGTCCTGTCTCTCCTCTGCTTCCCAACTGAGGATTGGCAGTGTCAGAGCTGGCAGCATGAACCATTTATATAAGATGCTTGAGCAGGGTAGTGTGTGTGCACCCTGCTGGAATCTGTAAATCAGGGTTAGTGCCTTTCATTTTTCTTGGATACAGCAGTTGTTGACTGAAGACTGTGGTATCTGGCTTGGGAGAAGGAGAGAGCTTTGGAATAAGGGGTTCTTGCTTATGGAAAATACTCAGTATATGTCACAAGGGAAGTATCTGGAAAAACTATGGTTCCTAGTGATTTAAGCAAAATCAAGTGCAATTTTATTTACCCCACTTTGTAGGAAAGATTTTTTTTTAATTTAAAATTTTACTTAGAAGCAGTGATTGCTTAATGTTTGTTGCTGCATCTCACTGCTGGCAATGGGGTGTGAGCATAAGCAATTAACTGTTCAAATCAGAGCAATGTGTGATTTAATAAAACACTCCAGCAATGGCTTGTGATCTTTGAATGGATCCATGCCTATCCTTCTTTTTCAATATTGTTGTATTGGAATCTATTAAATAGACTCACAAAAGCACTTCAGCTAAACTGAACCAGCCCTGTGTAACTGGCCCAGCCCTGTGTAACTGGCCCACTTGCCTTTATTATGATTTGCCAAGTGCTTGATAACACAACCTGTTTTTTAAGTTCCAGGTATACAGCAAAAGAAAATTGGTTATCCAGACCCTCAGCAAGGCCTGCCCTGAATTATTGCATACCTAAGGGTCATCTTTCCTTGATTTGCACATGCTGTACATGAAAACATTATGTTGAATAGCCACTGTCCCTTTGCAGTTCTCAAATAAGCAGCTCCCTGAATAACCAAATAAGCACAGCTTCTGTGCGTGTATGCAGCAGCACTCCCTCATCCTGTGTAGCACCTAACAGTCTTTTCCCTCCTTGCCCCAAATGCCCATTCTCTGTACCTCTGAACACAGTCCTACATTTACTTACCCCTATTCAATCCCATCCCCATCAATTCTCCCTCTGAAGCCCCAGGTCCCTAATGAGCTGCCCTTGACTGCACATGTTATCTGTGGGGGGGAGGGGGATCACAGGAGTTTGTGAGGAAGACTTCCTAGAACATTGAGTCTGCCCCTGGGAAGGTAACAAGGTATTAGTAAAGGGGCAATCTCAATTTACCATAGGGTTCTCCTGTAATAAATATGACAGTTTTGGGATACTTCTGTTCTGGAAAACGTTTAGGAAGTAATGAGCAGATAGTATTTGAATTTGAAATTTTCAAATTTGGGTGCCAACATTTGCGGTTTTTCTCTGATAGCTGGTATATTTATTGCTACAGCAACACCAGGACCTAGGGTTGCCAACTCCAGGTTCTGAAATTCCTGGAGATTTGAGGGTAGAGCCTGGGGTTTAGGTAAGTTTCACTGCTTAAGAGCGATTCCTCAGGACCAAGGAGCTTGCTTTAACACCAGACAGCTACCTTTTGTGGTTCATCCCTGGCTGTCTTTCATTCCAGTATTTATTTATTTAATGTTTCAACACCACAAGGTCCCTTTAACTGCCTGCCCTCCCCTTCCAAACCTGACAAGGGCTCCGAGTTCTTTCCCATGCTCGTCCTACTTGCAAGTCTGTTTGGAAGTCCTCCCTGCATCTCTCAGGAGAAGGCAGCACTGAAGTCTTTGGTTGGAATTCAGTCACGCTGGCCTCTGTGTTTTCATCTGCAACAACTTCCTGGTTCCCAGCTGCAACAAGTAGAACTGGGGTTGCTGCCTACGCTTGGCACCTTCTTTGTCTCGGCCTTGCCACCCTTCCTCTGGCATTGGTGCTCAATCAGCTATTCCTCATGGCTCCCAGGTTGCCTCCTTCCATTCCGAACTCACCCCTTTTAAATCTCCCTGTGTCTCTTCCAGGCTCCGCCCCTGCAATAGCTCAGATGTTCCTCCCTTCAATCGGTCACAGTAAGGAAGAAACCTTGGTAGCGTATAATACCATACAGTCCCACCTTCTAAAGCAGCCATTTTCTCCAGCAGAGGTGGAATAAGTATTTTAAATAAATACTGTAGCCTGGAGAGAAACTGTAATTCCAGATCTCCAGCCCCCACCTGGAGGTTGGCAACCATATCAAGAGTTGATGTAAAAACCCATGTTCTGGTTAAAATTTAAAACTATTTCAAAATTTTGGATTTTGACTGAAATTTACAATTTGGTCAATACTTAAATTCTGCATTCCCAATTTGTTTTAGCTGTATGTATAAATGTTTTCGGAATGGGGTTTCCTTTAACTTACAAGAACTTTTTCATTTGATTTGGTCTGAGTTGTAGATTTCTGTTCTGTATAAATAAAGTTTTTTTCTTTTCTTAAACTGGTTAGAAGTCAATGATTAAGTGTATCTTTCTGGTTTTAAGGTGCTCTTTCAATTTGTGTCACACTTTTATCTTCCTCCAGGGTTGTTAGGGCAGCAGTCATTTATTTTTATTTTGTTTCTTGACTGCCTTGTTGTAGGTACTCAAGGCAGATTACAAAATTATAAAAGACAACACAAAAAACAGTATGCTATATGCAGTATACAATGCAATATAAGTGGATTATACAAATAAAGAAATAAAACAGTATAATGTGCCACATAAAGTGGATTTCACAATTAGAGAAATGCTGTAGTATGGACAGTCTACAGCCAGTAAAAAATGCAATATGAAGGGGGAGGAGGGAAAAAACCACTTAAAAGCTTCACAGAATATGTTTTCTAAATAAAAAGTGTCTTTTGTACAGAACTATTTATACATCTCTTCCCTTTATAAAATAGTCAATCTGAACAGTTCTGTTTTACACATTTTGCATGAAGACTGAAGTATAGGAGTCTTTCTTACCTCATCAGGCAGGCTATTCCAGCAGGCTGGGGCCACACAACACATAAAGCTTGGGTATGGACAACTGTTTGTACCCCTTGTAGGGTGGTACCTACAGAAGGCTTTGCTCAGGTTAGGAAGCTGTCTTGGTGGAATATTCTGAGAAAGGTGGTCTTGTAGTTAAGTGGCTCCTAGGTTATGAAGTGCTTTCTATATAATAACCTGCACCTTAGGAACTTTGGCAACCAATGGACTTACTGTAGAATAGGTGTAATGTGAATACTCTGCCTCAGGGGTCATTTCGTAGAAAAAGAGGTTCAGGAGCTCATTAGCATAACTTATTTGCATATGCCACACACCCTGACATCACCGGAAGTGTGTCAGAAGGCAACACCCACCCCTTAGGCTCCACTGGACTCTTGGATTGCTAGCTATGGGGGGGGGGGATGCGCAGATCTACCCTCACAGAGGAGGGAGAGCTTGTACCTGAATAAACCTTGGCCTTAAAGGTGCCACTGGACTCTTTTGGAATGCAAGCTATGGGGGGGGGGGGGCTCTGCAACTAACCTGGCTGCTTCTTGCACCTTGTGGCCTGGGGCTGCTGGGAGCAGGGAGCGGGGCTTGTTGTATGTGCCCGCCCCCTGGGCTCTTTACTGTTGGACCTCCGCTCCTGTGTGCTCCTGCAGGAAATGACCCCTGCTCTGCCTAGCTCTCAATAGTAAACTAGCCAATATGATCTGCAAGAGCTGGCGTTTCCAAGATAACTTCTAGGGCATACTAATGTAGAGTGTGTTACAATACCTTGAGGTTACTGTGGCATGGATACATGGGGCCAGGTCAAAGTAGGGAGTTATTCTCCTGACTAAGATGGATTTTTTTTCTTTTGCAACAGAATGAACATGCTTCTCCAGCAATAATGCTGGGTCCAGAATAACTTCCATACTCTAACTGTGTGAGCCATTAAACCCCATCAATTGAGGGATATGCAATGCCCTCCAAAACGTCAGCCTTCCCAACTGGCATTGCCTCTGTCAGGATTCAGTTTCATCTTGTTAAACCATAGCTATTTAACCACAGAAGCTAGGCATTGGCTCAGGAAAGCTAAACACCCACAGCAAGTTATCTCTCCCAGGGGCTTTATACAGTATGGGAGATAGGTCCTACACTGCTTACTGATCTCTGACAGCAGCCCTATGAGTTCTGTCCACAAAGAAAATTCCAAGCCATTTCAGAGTACATCCCTTGATACCTACTTCTGAATCCAGACATCTCAGTAGGATGACATATTAAGATTACAACACAGAAGCATGCCCCTTGTTCAGATGGAGATCAACTAAAGTTACCCACACCATCTGGTCTAGAGCAGATGGCCCATACAAGAAGACTTGGAGCTGCTCTTTGAATACTCTTAATTATCATGCCCAGAAAAGTCAGGGTTAGAGACGATAATAATTGGCCACAATATTTTTCTCTAATGGTTCCCTCCCCCCCCAAAGTAATAGATGCAACAAGTTTGTAAGGAAAAATGGTCTGGGTCAATAGAGGATTTATCACGGATACCAGGGCCCTTACTAATATGCTTCTGACAATATTTCAGTAACCACGATGAACATGGACCAAGAGCACAAGTGCAGCTTTCACAGCCCAAGATCCTTTAGATATCTGACATGGTACAAGGCTGAAATAATCCATAAGCAACAAAGATGGTACAGAGGATACTTGTGTTACCTGGAAGGTATTATAAGTTTCTTTGAAGTGAAATTGAGAGGTTCTGATCAATACAAGTTCTTTAAAAAGAATGTCATCAGGAAAACACTCAGTTTTGGTACTCCAGCCACAAAGATTCTCCAATTAGAATATAAAACTGAAAATAAGGTGAAATAATTAGAGTATCTAATTTTTTTTCATTTGGGTAAACCATATCTAACAGATCAAAAATTTACCCAAATGCAGTTGTGTTGGTGGATTCTGATGCTTAGTATTACATAAAAGCCTATGTGGTAGTAGGAGAATTTTGGTAAGTACTGTGGTTTTGATAGGGTTGCCAGGTAACCCTTGGCCGTTGGTGGGGGATAGGGGTGGGAAACTCCTGGAGATTTGGGGATGGAAGTTCGTGGAGATAGGGACCTCAGTGGGGTACAATGCTATAGAGTTCACCTTCCAAAGCATCCATTTTCTCCAAGGGAACTGTTCTGTAGTCTGGAGATGGCTTGTAATTCCAGGGGATCCCCTAGGCCCCACCTGGAGGCTGGCATCCCTAAATTATGATGACCCAGCCAATAGAAAACCCCACCTGTATGATAACTTTAATATGATGTTGGGAGGCCCATGAATAGATTTCCTATGTTTTTAACAGGCATAATAACGAATGTGGTTGGGATTCCCCTGCCATGCTGTCTTCCTGATGCACCCCTTCCACCACACACAATTTGCTTTTTGGTGGAGAAGTTATTTCGGCACAGACCTAGGCGCACATTCATTACCTAGACCTCAACTAATACCCAATTTAAATGGAAAGAAAGCTTCATTTGTGTGGCATGGAGCTTATTACCAAGTAAGAGCAAATTTTACACTGGTGTTAAGTCATGCTAAAGGGCAATTTCCCTGCCATTATTCCTGTCTTTTGTTCATGAAGAATCCTTCTGTGGCAGGGTTATATACTTTACTGTATCCGATCCATCCCTTTGCCTATTGATTATAAATGGGTAAAAGGATAGGTTCTAACTCTTTGATAAAGAGGAATTCTTCCAGTCAGCTTTTGCTAATTTTGAACGTGTATCTTTTAATAATAAAGGGGTCAGACATTTGAAATATCGCCATCTTATATGTTTTTGACGCTAGTTACCAACTATCAATCAATTTAATAGGGTGTTTAGGACTGCACTTCCCATTTCTGTTAGGGTTGCCGGGTCTGGATTGGAAAATACCTGGAGACTTTGGGGGTGGATCCAGGAGAGGGCGGGGTTTAGAGAGGGGAGGGGCCGCCTCAGCAGGGTACAATGCCATAGAGTTCACCTTCCAAAGCAGCCATTTTCTCCAGAGGAGCTGATCTCTGTCAGCTGGAAATCAGTTGTAAAAGCGGGAGGTCTCCAGGCCCCACCTGGAGGCTGGCAACCCTAGTTTCTGTGGAGATTATGGATCTCTGATCCTCTAGGGCACCAAAGTCCGAAAGAGCGCTTTTAAACACCCAGCAGTAGCCCTTAACGGGCTCTCGATTTACTATGAAAGGCATTCGTGACCCAGAGCAGGGATGTACTAAAAGGAAGGACAGGA